CGGCAAAAACCGGCCCAGTAAACTCCGAGACGGATGAAGAGACCATCTTCACCATAGCAGGCGGTTTTGCCGGAGGGGGTCCCACCATCCGGGGCACCAAAGACAACATCAGGAAGCTGGTCAACTCAGTGGATGAGGGCCAGGCGTCGAAAGACATCTTCCCTGAGGTCCTTATTTCTGAAAAGGACCGGGGCAAGGTCAGGCGGCCTCATGATGACCCCATCGTCATCGAATGCAAGGTTGCCAACCAGAAGGTTGGCCGGATCCTAATAGACACCGGGAGCTCGTCTGACCTAATTAGTTATCAGTGCTTGACCAAGCTCAAGTACACATCCGGTAACATGCACCAGGCTCCTCACCCACTAGTCGGTTTTGGGGGTGGAGTAGTGCATCCGGTCGGAAGCATAGATCTTCCGATCCGGCTGGGTGAAAAGGGGCAAGGACGCCACATGATAGTCAAGTTTTTAGTTGTGGAGGAGCTGTCCGCCTACAACATGATATTTGGCCGTCCTACCCTCAACGCATCTAAGGCTGTCATCATCCCGTCCCTCATGTTGGTCAAGTTTCAAAAGGATGATGGTACAGTCGGTGCCCTAAGCGGGGACCAGAAGACGGCAAGAGAATGCTATCTCTCTGACGTCAAGACAACTATGGGTGCAGCCGGCCAGGGTGAGCCCATAGATATTGATAACTGCGACCCAGCAGTCCCGGCTCCAAGGGCAGCCGGTAAGAAAAGAAAGGCGGACCAACTGGCACCCGTCAAAAAGGAGAAATAGCAATCACTAGCCGGGGAAAGGTCAGATGACCAACGACCTCAGCCGGCTGGTGACTGCCTTGATGTCATCCTAGATGACAGCCGTCCCGAAAGAACAGTCAAGGTCGGGACGGTAGCCTTCGAACGGTTGGGAGAAGGCTTGCTCCAGCTGCTGAAGGAATTCAAAGACATCTTTGCCTTTGAAGTGGAAGAGATGCCAGGCGTCAGCCCGGATCTTGCTGTCCACAAGTTAGCCGTAGATCCCAAAAAGCAGCCGGTTAGGCAGAAAAAGAGGGATCATGGTGGAGAAAGATCTCAAGCGGCAGCGGCTGATGTCAAAAAGCTGTTGGATGCTGGGTTCATTAGGCAATGCTACTACCCGGATTGGGTGGCAAATGTCGTTCTAGTAAAGAAGCCGAACGGTACTTGGCGGATGTGTGTGGATTACACAGATTTGAACAAAGCATGCCCAAAAGATAGCTACCCGCTTCCAAAGATTGACAGCCTAGTCGACTCAACAGCCGGCCATGCGCTAATGAGCTTTATGGATGCCTATTCCGGCTTCCATCAAATACCCCTCTGGAAGAAAGATCAGGAGAAGACGGCTTTCGTCACTGATCAGGGGTTATTCTGCTATACAGTGATGCCGTTTGGGTTGAAGAATGCACCGGCTACATTCCAGTGCATGATAAACACCGTTTTTATCAACCAGATTGGCAGGAATGTAGAGGCGTATATCGATGACATGATAGTCAAATCCAAGCTACAGACGGATCACCTAGCAGACCTGCGAGAAACCTTCACCACACTCAGGCGGCACCGGGTCATGCTTAACCCAAAGATGCGTATTTGGTGTTGAGTCTGGGAAGTTTCTCGGATTCTTGATTGACCAAAGAGGCATCGAAGCTAATCCGGAAAAAATACAGGCGGTAATTGACATGAAGTCTCCCCGCACTGTAAAAGAGGTCCAGAAGTTGACCGGTTGTCTGGCGGCATTGGGGAGGTTCCTCAGCCGGTCAGGTGACAAGTGCCTCTATTTCTTCCAGGCAATCAGGAAGAGGTCAAGGTTTGAATGGGGTGAAGAAGCAGAGGCGGCATTCCAAAGGCTTAAGCAGCACTTGCATTCTTTGCCAAGGCTAGTGAGCCCCCTACCCCGGGAGGTTCTGTACATGTACCTAGCCGTCTCTGATCACGCCCTTAGTGCCGTTCTCCTCGCTGAGAGAGACGGCATTCAGCTGCCGGTGTACTTCATCAGCCATGTCCTTAAAAATGCTGAGCTCCGGTACCCCATGATCGAAAAATTTGGGTTGGCCTTATTCGTAGCAGTCAAGCGGTTGAAGCCTTATTTTTTGGCACATCCGGTTGTGGTATACACAGATCAGCCGCTCAAGCGCACGATGACTGCTATAGAGTCATCCGGTAGAATGATCAAGTGGGCTGTTGAAATACAAGGCCTTGAGATAACTTTTGAACCCAGGCGGGCAGTGAAAGGTCAGGCGTTTGCCGACTTCATTGTCGAGATGACTAGGCCGGTGCAACCGGAAAACCCTGATCAGGTCTGGAAGTTATTTGTAGACGGCAGCTCTACGGTGAACGGCTGTGGTGCAGGTGTTATCTGTCATTCCCCGGAAGGGGATAAGTTTGAATATGCACTACGGTTTAAGTTCCAAGCCTCCAACAATGAGGCAGAGTATGAAGCCCTGCTAGCCGGAATGCGCATGTGTAAGGCAGCCGGTGCAAGAAAGGTCGACGCCTGCTCAGATTCACAGCTGATCGTTAGCCAATACCTTGGTGACTACGAAGCCACCCATCCGGCTATGATCAAATATTTGCAGGCGGTCAAAGAGGAGGCTGGGTCCTTCGATGAATTTCATCTGCGACAGGTGCCCCGGTCTGAAAACAATCAGGCGGATGCCCTCTCAAAGTTGGCATCATCAGCCTCCTGTGATGCTCCTAGGACGGTCTTTTGGGAAGTCATTGAAAAACGAAGTATTCCAATTGATCCCATTGGAGTCCTGGACAGAAGTGCTACCTGGATGGATCCCATCCGGTCTTTTTTGACGGATGGTATCTTGCCGGATGACCCTTCAGAAGCATCAGCGCTCAAGAAGCGTGCTTCAAGTTTTCTTATGCATCAAGGGGAACTCCTCCGGAAGGGATACCTGCAGCCGTTTTTGAAATGTGTAACCCCGGATAGGGGGAGAGAAGTTTTGGAAGATCTGCATGCGGGGTTTTGTGCCACACATATTGGTGGCAACAGATCTCACGGCAATCCATAGTCCGGTTCCGTTCGCTAAATGGGGCATGGACATTTTGGGACCTTATACGCCTGCGACAGGCGGCCGCCGCTACATTCTTGTAGCAGTAGACTACTTCACCAAATGGGTTGAGGCAGAGGCGGTAAAAGGGATTAAAACGAAAGACGTGATTTCTTTCATCTGGAGAAACGTCATCACCCGGTTCGGGGTTCCAATGTCCATGGTTTTCGACAACGGACCGCAGTTCGAAACGCCTGTCCTGAAGACCTGGTTGGGAGACCAAGGAATTTCCCATTGTTTTGCATCCGTTGGCCGTCCTCAGGCAAACGGTCAAGTTGAGGCTTTTAACAAGCTGATCTCAGACGGGATAAAGAAGAAAGTAGAAAGAGCCGGTGGACTATGGGCAGAGGAATTACCTCATGTCCTTTGGGCTATCCGGACAACCGAAAAGGGGGCAACCGGTGAGACCCCATTTCTCATGACATACGGCACTGAAGCAGTTCTTCCCATTGAACATTATGAGCCTACTCTACGCATTATGTTATATGATGAGGCGGCTAACTGGGAAGCCATGCGGTTGGCATTAGACGCTCTTCCAGAGCGAAGGGGGAATGCTGCCTTGCGTCATGAGATCTACCGTCTGCGTATGACTAGAGCCTACAACAAGCGGGTTCGTAAAAGACCTTTGAAAGAAGGAGATTTTGTGCTTCGCAAGATGGAGGCAACCGGTAGGGCCAATGAACAAGGCAAATTAACCCCAAATTGGGAGGGACCCTACCGGATCTTTGAAGAAGTACGAGACGGCACTTACCGCCTGGAAACTCCAGACGGAAGAAAGTTGCCTAGAACTTGGAATGTAGATAACCTCAAAAAATACTACTACTAAATATTGTACATCTTTTGTAAATTTTCAAATTGAGAATTATATTCAATTTTGTATACAGCCGCCATGTCTTGTGCCTACCACAAGCGGCACCAGTAACTAATTTTTTCATCCGGTGACGCCCATACGGGTGAATTCATCGAAGAGAACATCTCCCATTTGGGTGGTAAATTGTTCTAAGCGATCACACAGGCGGACAAATCCGCCTGACGATCCTTCGCACCAAAAAAGGGCAGGCTAGCAACCCCAAACTTGCAGCCGGCTCACTTTTTGGAAGTACCACTAAGGCTGATTCCAAAATTCAGCCGGTACTCAATACCGCCGCCTGACTCTCTAAGAGCAGGCCTAAAAACATTTGGTCTAGGCCATAATTCATTCAGGGGTATGCTTGCAAAAGCCCAACCGGTGAATGGACATCCTAATCTGGCGTGATTCTTTTGCGAAGTCCCGACCAGTAATTCAGTATAAACCGACTGGCTCCCGAATCTAATGTTGGCACTTAGTGTATATTCGAGCTATATCATATGGATAGCCGCCTGGCTTGCAAAGGCCCAGGCCGCTATCCAGGGGCAATTACCCAGACGCCATCCGGTTTGGTTTTGGGTCGGAATTTCTTCGCCTAGTTTGCGAAGACCCAGACGGCAGTGTTACCGGTGGGGTCTTCTTGGCAACCCTAGCAAATTTCTTCGCCTAGTTTGCGGAGACCCAGACGGCAGTGTTACCGGTGGGGTCTTCTTGGCAACCCTTGCAAATTTCTTCACCTAGTTTGCGAAGACCCAGACGGCAGTGTTACCGGTTTGGTTTTGGGTCGGAATTTCTTCGCCTAGTTTGCGAAGACCCAGACGGCAGTGTTACCGGTGGGGTCTTCTTGGCAACCCTAGCAAATTTCTTCGCCTAGTTTGCGGAGACCCAGACGGCAGTGTTACCGGTGGGGTCTTCTTGGCAACCCTTGCAAATTTCTTCGCCTAGTTTGCGAAGACCCAGATGGCAGTGTTACCGGTGGGGTCCTCTTGGCAACCCTTGCAAATTTCTTCGCCTAGTTTGCGAAGACCCAGACGGCAGTGTTACCGGTGGGGTCCTCTTGGCAACCCTTGCAAATTTCTTCGCCTAGTTTGCGAAGACCCAGACGGCAGTGTTACCGGTGGGGTCCTCTTGGCAACCCTTGCAAATTTCTTCGCTGTTTGTGAAGACCCAAGCGGTAGTGTTACCGGCGGGGTTCTTTTGGTTATCCTCGCAGAAATATGTATAAAAAAATAAAAAAATAACAAGAATTCTAGTATTGAAGTGCAGAAACATAAAAAGCATTCAAAAGCCAAGTGTGAAAAACAGAGTGCATTCAAAAGCCGGCTCAGCCGGTGAAAATGTTAATATTCAAAATAAAAATTATTACAGCTTAGCCCATCTCATCCGGCGCTATTACAAGATAATGCAAGGCGCGCAGGCCGGGAGGTAGTTGCTACTCCAGGCGAACAGTGAACCGGTCCTCTTCCGGTTGGTTCTGGGTTGGATCAGGGTGAGCGGCTACGTCGGCTTCAGGAACAACTTCCTCTTCAGCAGCCTCCGCCTGCCGTCGCGCAATCTCCTCCCCAACCCAAGCGTCATAGGGTCCGGGTCCCGGCTCATTCGCCTCCTCGGCCAGAATGGCAAGATCAGAATATTTGAAGGCGAGTTCCCAGACGGTGAAGTCCGCCTCCGGGTGGATGAGGGAAAACGCCCGTCGCATCCGGTTTGCACAATCAAGCTCATTCTCCTCAATGAGCCTATCCTGCTCCGCCTCCAAGGTGGCCTTGAAGTTCTCATTGGCAGCAGCCGCCTCTTTGCGCAGGCGCTCATTCTCTTTGGCAAGGCGGCCATTTTCAGTCTCCGCCTTGCTCAGCCGTTGGAGGGGCTCTTTCTGTTCCTCCAACTTTTTATTGGCATCATCCAGGGACGCCTGCAGTTGGTCAACTTGGTTTTTCAGTTGATCAATCTGCTGTTGGAGGGCCTTGGTCTTCTCCGCCTGTTCCATGCGTATAGATTTAGATTCTAAGCCATGCATGTACAAAGAGTAGTCAGCAACATTATGGGCGTCATCAACAGCCCGTTTGCTTCTCCTTACCTCTTCAGACTTGCGGGTATAAGCTCGTTTGAGCCCCTCTACGCGCAGCATAGCCTGCAAAAATACAGCCGGTTAATACTGCATATTTAAAAATGCACGTCAAGAAAATTACCGCATGGTTGTTGGAGCATACGTCGGCCAGGTCGACCAGCACCCGGTCGGCATTAAAGGAGTTGATCCCAGGGATCGCCTCCTTCTCGTCCCTGGGGACGGCTTTCAGCATGGCCCGGGCATATTGTGCCCCGTCCGGCCAGCGGGGAGAATTATCTGCACCAGAAACAGACGGTGAGAAACTCGCATATGCTCTGCCTATAGATTGCCGGCTGATTGGAGAATCCCCCGGCTGCGATCGAGACTGTGAATAAGACTTGACCCGCATGGGCAGGTCAAGCAGTGTAAGGTCGAAGTTACCTTGGCGGCCCGAACGGCCTTTAGAGGGACCGGTTGCGGTCCTCAATGGGATGGCAGAAAGCACATCCGCAGATCCAGGCCCGCCTGGGACCTTTATTGATTTGCCGCCGGTAGTTTGCCGGTCGGCTGTCTTCTGCACCTTGGATGCAGACTCTTGTTGGGTCGGCGGAGGCCTGACCTGTTTTTGAAGGGACCGGGGCATCTGCTTCCCGTCCTGTAAACGAGAAAAATATAAGTTATGGGATAAAAGGATTGAAATAAACGAGAAGGATCAGACGGTTATACCTTCCTCGCCGCCTGGGCAGCAAGTTTTTTCTCGAGATTGGCTTTCCGGATGTCGGCAGCCGACCTAGCCGGTGTCTTCTCGGTGGGCAGCATTTCCTTGGCTTCTTCTGCAGAGGAAGGCACACGGTTAGAATAATAAACAAGCAAGGAAATAAAAGCATCCGGTTCGAAAGAAACCGGCTGAGTTCCGAATACATACGTTTTTTAAACATGCTGCTTAGACCACAAGCGGACAAGAAGCATTCGTCCCTAAAAAATTCATGTTTGGGCACCCAGTTTCTAGGTACCCTTACTATCTCTCCGGATGAGAGGGTGTCAGGAACTAACTCAAAAAACCCGGAGTCAAGGATGGTCTCTCTATCATCCTCCGGGACAGGGGGCAGGCAGCACTTGGTCCCCAAGAGTTCTGGTTTCCGGTTGTATATCCGGAATTCTCTGTTCTTTGCCGTAGTTGGGGCCTTAACCAAGTAGAACCGGTGCTTCCAGTCCGACCATTTGGATGGCTTGTCCAAGGTCATAAGGTATTTGGGCTGGGTGGTCAAGGTATACCAGGCTCTCCAGCCGCCTGGGCTCCTACTCAAGTAATGCATGTGGGCAAACGCCTCCCAGCCGGGGTTGAGGCCCTGCATCTCGCAGGCGGCGATATACCCTAAAATATTTACCCATGAGTTGGGGGTTAATTGCCAGAGACCTAGGCCATACCCCCTAAGTATGGCTTTTATTGTGTCGTGGAGAGGGAAGCGGACTCCGGCCAAGAAGGCCGCCTCGTAGCACCCGAACCAAGCGTTCGCGTTCGGTTGTCCATCCTCCCACCATATTGTTCCCAGAGCAGCCGGGATTTTTATTGTATAGTCACCCCCCAGCGGCCGCCGTTTGATAAAATCTGGCAGCGCAGCCCGCATGAGCTCGCGGTCCTTAGAGGAGACGGCGATCATGAGAGGATCGTTCCTATTGTCCCAAGAAGGCCTCTCCGCCTCCTCGCTATCCTCAGATTCGGTTAAGTAGCTGCTACTGCTACTTTGAACGTGACCGGCATCAGAGCCGGCTGGGGAGTTGGAGACCTCCTTATCAGAGCCTACCTGCTCTCTGGTCTCCTGGAGGGGAGCAGTCTCTTCGTTTAAAATGCTATCACCCGGGGTGCTAGGAGCGCCCTCGGGTGAGCCTCTCTGCTCTACCTCTCCTTGCTCTACTTCACCGCCTGAAGCTGGGTCCTCAGGCGGCTGCTCATCTGAGCTCCCACTTCTGTAGTTGGGATCTCTGGCAGTAGACCGGATTCTGGCCATTGTGTCCTGCACAGACACAGAGTCGGTCGATATGGGTGTTGAAAAAGGGTTGTCCCAAAGAACAGAGGCGGCAGACCCAGTTCTAGACTCAGCCGTACTAATAAACCGGCTGAGTTCACAGCTAGGTTCCGGGTATGGGTATAAGGGGTCCATCTACTTATGGGACCAATGAACAAAAATGCGAGTAAAAGACTCAAACGGAAATGCATGAAAAAGCTAGAAAGAATAGAGACGGTACCTAGAAGAAAATCTGGAAATTCTTTGGGATGCTTGCGAAGACGCAGGCGGTTCAAAATCCGGCTGGGTTTCTCTGATTACCCTCTCGAAAACCTTTGGCTAGCTTGCAACGACCCAGACGGTCTGTAGACCGGTGGCTCTCAACGAATCTCAAACTCCGAATGCTCTCAACTCTCAAATTGCCGGCTGCTCTCAAATTTTCAGAAATTTGGCAAAGTTTGTAAATGAGAGCTCGGGGGACATCTTCTCCTATTTATAGGATTTGTCCCAGAAGGTGAAGAGTCGTGACTCTTCGCCTTCTGCTTTTCCATCCTTCAAAAAGAATCTGAAGAGTTGAAAAAAAAAAAAAAAAAAAAAAAAAAACCTTTCACCGGCGCCACGTGGCACCCTGCCACGTCAGCACCAGTGAGGGGCAAATGTTTGGGGTAAAAATACCCTAAACACGTGGCCCAATGGCCTAGTGACACGTGGCATCCAGCCGTTGGTCAGCAGGGCTCCAATCCTCTGCTGACACGTGTCCTCTAAACCCTAAAAGGGAAACCATCCCTTCCCCACTATAAATAGTGGAAGGACCCTCATTAATGGGGGGGGGGGAACATCTATTGCTTACATTGAATACTCCTCATAAAGACAAACACCTACCCCGAGCAATATTAATTGCGGAATTCTCCCATTACGCGAGAAGTAACTTCAACATTACGTGCATTCTACCTCCCGTATCTTTACTAACTTGATCGTCGGAGGCGGAGCTCCTACCCCCAGGAGTCTTCGTGATTTTGCAGGCACAGGCGTCGAAGGGCATTCTTGGAATTGTAACTCTCCCGCAGGACACATCAAAAAACCCCGAAACACAAAGTATTATAATTAATATTGTATTTCATGTAATTATTTTATAAATAGAATAAAAGTATGTAATTTTGCTTTAAAAGATATATAGATGTGGGTATGAGGTGGGGATGGGGCGGGTACGAAGTGGGGCGAGGCGGGGATGGGGCGGGTACAACTTAAAATCCACCCCCGCCCCATCACCCATGGCGGGTATGATTTTTATCCCCATCCCCGCCCCACCACCCGCCAAACCGAGACCCATCCCCGCCCCATTGGGGCGGGGATGGGGCGAGTCTCCTACTTGACCCGCCCCACTGACATCCCTACATATAGGGGGTGCCTATTACTATTTTTCTACTAGTGCTAAAGGTTCAAGCTTAGCACCACCACCGAATTTCCGCTTCCTGTCCATGAATATCTGAGTTCGAACCAATTTCATTTTCCCAGTTCGACGCTGACATTTGTAGGTCGCAATAACATCTTCATTTGGTTTGTTCTCATTTGGGGGATTCATTTTTGTTAAATTTTCAAAGGAAAAATTAGATCGGAACTCGGAGAAGGTGGAGGAATAGGAGAAATTAGTGTTTGGAGAGAGAGGGGAGACAGTGAGAAATAAAATCACGAGAGGAGAAGAGAGAGAGGACAAATCTGGAACGTTCTCCAGATTTAAAGCCTTCAAAAGCCATATTAATGGTGACGGTTGAAGTAGCATTCATGAGGGTAGGTGAGGAGATGAGTGGAGATCTGAGGAATTGCTCAAATAAGGGGTTTAGATCTTTAATTTTGGTGCGAGTCATTAGTTTTAATGTGTAGTTAAGAGTGATAATTAATTATACCATGTCAACAAGTTAGGTGATAATCAGTTTTTAATAAGGGCATAATGGTCAATTTGTCAGACAAAAAGTTATCAAAAATGGAAAAAAAAAATTGTTGCAAATACAGTTAGCACCCATTTTGGGTAAATGTTGCAGATAACTGTTAACGGAGGTAGTAAGTAAAACTTTGGCTCAACTCTTTGAGGTTCCCTATTAAATAAGGCATGGAAGGGAGCCAAATCCAATTCTCTTTAGATACGTTCCTAAAAAAAGAGAAAGACATGACCCAAAACCATCTTCAGCCCATAAAAAAATAATAATATTGAAATATATGTTGAGATAAAGTATAGAGATAGAAATCTATATGCGTAATGGATTAGTATTCCATGTCAACAACAACAAAAACACGGATCAGCACAACGTTATACATTAATCATTTTTTGATTTGTTCATGATCAGATTAATACACAACTTATGCGACAGCAAAAAAAAACAGATAGAAAATCATTCAATAAAAATTTCAAATTAAACCCTGAAAATGCTGGGTTTCATAAGAAGAAATTCATCAACAACAAAATCAACACTTTATTTGAATTCATGGCTTCAAACAAGAAGAGGATTTTGTTTAGGTGTTCTTCCCAATGATGTTGACCGAAATTCCGACACTTTCACTCGCAATTCCAAACTTATGCAGGATTTACTCTCTCAACTCCAGTCTAACATCAACAAGGTCTATTCTCGACTTCAATTTTAATTTTTAATTTTTAATTATTATAGACGGAATTTAATCGCATGTCATGGTACGACTAGAACATGACTTTACTGACTAAGTTAGTTTACATCCACTTTTGCGGGTTTAGTTATTTTCCTTTTTTCCAATTTTAATTTATTTATTGTTAAAGGTAATTGCTGGTGGAGGAGAAGAAGCAGTGAAGAGGAATAGGAGTAGGAAGAAGCTTCTTCCTAGAGAGAGAATTGAACGGATTCTTGATCCTGGTTCTTCATTCCTTGAACTTTCCCAGGTTTTTACTATATTCTGAATACTATTTTTCTGAATACTTTTTATTTCGTTGGAAATTATGTGATTAGTTTGGGAACTTATCATATTTTTTTAGTATGATTATCTAAATGCATGTTTGTTCCTATAATCTTATTAAATTAGACCCTTTTATATTAATGGTTGAATGACAGTATAGTGTACTTATTTTACCAAGTCGAATTCTTGCTGTGCTGCTTAACTTTGAACAAAACTATGATTCTGCTTTATGGTAAGTCCAATGAGATTTACAAAAGAACATATTCATAGAAGGTAATGATCAATTTGTTGCTTTTTTGGACTAATTTATGATTATTGGGGATCAGTGAATAAAATTGTAGTTTAATTTAACAGTTTGCATTTGACATTGCAAGGAGAATTGGAGAAACATATGTAGCGTTAGATTATTTAGGTACATGGACTGTGGAATTGAAGTTTGGGGTAAGGGGTTGTCTTGAAATTCAGAGTTGAATCCTGCTATTATAAAAGAATCACATCTAATTTTATTGGAATTCATGTAGTCCAATTCTGGCTTTTATCATTTTACTTAAGTAAGCGAAATTTTGACTAGTTTCGAATTTTTCGACCGGTAGTTGGCATACACTTTGAATATCCTAGGTTGGGTGGGTGGGTAAGGGGGTAACCACTCGAATTCTTTGAATATGTTAGTTTTTAGCTAAAAGTGGATTAATGACTTAGCTAGCTGGACAAACTTTGAATAAATCTTGTCAAGGCCTGTAGAAAGTAGAATGTACGTTTGAGGATATTGTCACTCATCATATGGCTACTTGCATGAGTGAATTGCTTGATTTCACATCATTTCTCATCATGGCTGATTTGATGTGGTGACTTTTGATGGTCCTGACTCAATCTTCTTGGTAATCTGTTAACTCTTTTACTGTATTGATCCACTATGCTCTCCACTCTTGTTCTAGTAGTTCTACCTTTGGATTTTTCATTAGGAAGACATCATGCGAATAATAGCTAAGTAATGTAAGAAAAGAAGTTTTCTACTTTGTCTAAGCTCAAATTGATGTGATTAGCTTGCAGGGCATGGGTTGTATGAAGAATCTCTTCCATCTGGTGGAATAATAACAGGAATTGGACCAGTTCATGGGAAACTTTGTATGTTTGTAGCTAATGATCCCACTGTCAAGGGAGGAACTTATTTTCCCATCACAGTCAAGAAGCACTTAAGGGCACAAGAAATCGCTGCTCAATGCAAACTACCATGCTTGTATCTTGTAGATAGTGGTGGTGCTTTTCTACCCAAACAGGCTGAAGTCTTTCCCGACAAGGAGAATTTTGGCAGAATATTTTACAATCAAGCCATAATGTCTTCCCAAGGCATTCCTCAAATTGCTCTTGTTTTGGGTTCATGTACTGCTGGAGGAGCATATATACCTGCTATGGCTGATGAAAGTGTCATGGTAAAAGGAAATGGAACGATATTTCTTGCTGGACCTCCACTTGTGAAGGTTAGTGATACAGTTATGGTATCCGGACAGGGTACCATGGCAACCATGAAGCCTTCTTTTTATCTGTTTCCAGCTTGATCTGTTGGTCTTGTTTCAGTTTTCAGAGCTATGAGAATGCAATTGTATTGTGTGCGTGTATTTTTTTCTGATGGATATAAATTGAAACAGGCTGCTACTGGTGAGGAAATTTCTGCTGAAGATTTGGGAGGTGCTAGTGTGCACTGCAAGATATCAGGAGTATCTGATTATTTTGCTGAAGGTATTCTACTGCTGTAGAATCTTATTTCTTTATCTCATAAGAGTTGGTTGATCAATAATTTATTGATTACTTTCTCTTGTAAGCTTCATGATTTAATGAAACCATTTCTACAATCTTCATCTAGCATTATTACGACACTAATGTCATGACAATTTAAACAAGCATTACTATCTATTATATATATATATATATATATATATATATATATATATATAATAAAAATAATGGCTGGAACTGTTTATATTAATATTTACATCTGGCTGTTGCATGTAATGTAATTGAATTTACATACTATAGTTGATGTAGAACTTGAATTTACATATTATATATATATATATATATATATATATATATATATATATATATATATATATATATATATATATATAATAAAAATAATGGCTGGAACTGTTTATATTAATATTTACATCTGGCTGTTGCATGTAATGTAATTATTTCAAAATTATCCACCAAAACACATTAAATTTATACATGTTGTCCCCCTCACCCCCCCCACCCCCCCCCCCCCCCAAAAAAAAAAAAAAAAAGAGTTATGTTCTTTGTAAAAAATTGAAGATTTACACACTCATTATTGCAATTAGTCTATTTACGTGAACTCCTGTGAAATTTCGCTGCTACTTCTTTGTTCGCCCCTATATTATAATACGGCTCATGGTTTTAAGGAAACCCTTTCTGTTGGAATGATGAAAGTAATGCATTCATGTGTTTTTGTTAAGCAAAAATATGTGTATTGTCATACCTTCTTGCTCTGTGATCTGTTGTACCTAATAATAGAATTTCTCCCAATTTATACGTATTAGCCCTTTTCTTTCTTGTATGTTGTTGCAATGAGATCTATTCTACTATTCATTTATTTCAACAATTTAGAGGATTCGAAAAGTTCCCTTTAGCTATCACATATTGCCTCAACTATTGAACTACTCTATTTTTAAAACCTCCTTACAGCTAATAAACTTACTGTTTAAAGTCCTGGCAAACTTTGGTTGTCCACTTTCCTTCCCCTTCCTTGCATCAATTCTACTCCGTGTATGCCAACTGCTAGTAATTATTGCTTAGGTAACTGAGAAATGTGGAGGAGGAAGATTTTTGTGGATGACTATACGGAATAACCATTTTTGGTTCATGTAGCCAACCCCACTTATGGGATTAAGGCTTTGATTGATATGACCAAGGAATGTCTTATTAAAGTCTCAGTTATACAAATCTTTTTATGACGTTGTTTGCCTATTTGGCACATAAGGCTCAATGTATAAAAAAGCTCAAGGCGCGCTGAAACATGAAGGGTTATGCAGCGCCTAGGTGTGCCTCTTTGAAGTGAGGCGCACTATATAAAGTTATGAACAGTAAAAAAATGGCAAAAATTTGTTTCAGGTGCGCCTCGTGTGCTTTTGGTGCACCTCGTGCGCCTTACCTGCGCCTAACCTTTGACCAAGTTAAGCGCTTACCCTATATCGCCTTGCGCCTCAGTGCCTAACGCGCTTTTTTAAACACTAATAAGGTTGAACATATTTCAAGTTCTGACTTCTCGCTGTGCTCATCGCATGATATGGCAAGATGACACAGACAAAAATTTGTGATGGTGTAAGTGCATAAAGGTGGTGGCAGGACACCAACTATCTAATACAAGCACAATATGGCCTGAAATCATAGCTTTTAGATATTTGCTTTCTTCCTTTGAATGTGTTTGCTTTCTTCCTTTGAATGTGATGATCGATAAGTTTCAGAATTGTACTTTGTAAACTAACTTGCATGCTTTTTCCTGGTGCAGTGATGCATTAATATGATTTAGTAACTGCATATTATTTTGTTGATTTCACACTTTCACTTATATTATTTTTAATGTTTATCCACACAAGGCACCACATTGTGACTGTGATATGTCAAGCTACCCAGCTCCCGTTTCATGACTAGTGATACTTGTGGAGAAATCTTTGAACTGAACTCGTCAGAGATTAAGGCATCATATATTACATGCTTTACACCTTCTTTGAATGCAACTCCTTGTTTCTTTTCGTGTGTATGTTGAACATCTTGTGCATGTCTAGATTGCAATTTTTGAACTTTATAGGATATAGAAGCAAAAATTCTAAAACCTGGGAAATATGACATTCTCAGCTTAATTTTAGCAGCTCTCTCTTCTTCTGTATCCTTTTTCCTTTTTCCTCTCCTTTAGTGGAAGATATATAAGGGATTGGAACAACCAACTAAAAACATTTTATTCTCGTATTTATGGCATTTCCTTGCAGATGAACTGCATGCACTGCATACAGGAAGGAGTATTATTAAGAATCTATATAAGGCTGGAGTAGAAGAATTATCTAGTACCTGGAAGACAGCAGAGCCTAAGGAACCTCTTTATGATGTGAAAGAGCTCAGATATATTGCCCCAATTGATCACAAGCAGCAATTTGATATACGATCTGTTATTGCTCGTATAGTTGACGGGAGTGAATTTGATGAATTCAAGAAACTGTATGGCACTGTGAGTCCCATATTTATCTCCCAAACACAATCACCTGAATTCCTAGGTTATAGTTATTTACTATTTCAGGCTAATCATTATTTTAATTTTAATTTTTGAATTAGAATTTCTTGTTTGTTATATTTTGCAGACCCTTGTAACTGGTTTTGCAAAAATTTTTGGGAAACCTGTTGGCATCATTGGAAATAATGGAGTATTATTTCATGAATCTGCTCTTAAAGGGGCCCATTTCATTGAACTATGCACTCAGCGAGGCATTCCTTTGGTTTTTCTTCAGAATATTACAGGATTTATGGTATGGGGCATTCTTATACCTCTGAAATATTGAATAGACTGCTTTGAGATGTTTCCTTTGCCTTCGTGTTATAAAGCTGATGTTATCGAACTAAAAGGAACTATAGGGTCACCATGGCTATATAAGTTAACCATGTTTGAGATACATTTTGATTAAAGATCTTTCTATACGCAAGAGCCACCTCTATAGAGTTGAAGACATGCGTATCTGGTTCACCTTCTGTCAACAAAGACTTGAGACAAATTTCTAATATAGGTGTTATGCAACATATTGCTAAAGATTAGGTCTCTCGTAAATTTTGAGGTTTAACTTATTTAGTTGGTCCAGAGACTTGCCCTTTCACAATTGTGTATGGGCAGACCTTATCAGGCCTAGTCGACACCAATTCAAGGGTTTTTTTAATTGTCCTGTCTCAATGAGTGTTTTCTCTAATCCCATCCCATCCTTAGCTCACTATACAACAATCCTATTTTGTCTAATCCCATCCCATGTTTTCTCTAATCTTTTGTCTTTACTTAATCCGTCTCAATTTTAATTTTTAAATCAAACTTGCTGTTTTTTTTTTCCTGAAATGTTGTCCTCTAAACACATACATTGTCCTCCCTCTGTTCCTTTTTGTTCTTCCCATGAGAGAATCTTCCAAATTACTCTCAATATGTAACACATAACACATTCATGTTGTGTCTTATTTGATTCGTCTCAATGAGTGTTTTTATTAATATTCAACTGTTACATTTTTACTAATATGCATTATGCAACTAAAGTCTAAAGATATATATGGTCAAAGTAATGCATTGGCAAACGTGTACAAAAAAAAATGGGAAAAACTTTTAGGATTAGAGGGAGTATATTATAGAGTAATAACATTAAACAGACAATTGTTTCATTATGCAATAACTCTTGGTATAATGTCTTGGTAGGTTGGCTCAAAGGCCGAAGCAAATGGCATAGAAAAAGCTGGGGCAAAAATGGTGATGGCCGTTGCATGTGCAAAGGTTGGTGTAACTTTGACTTTTGCCCTCCATCTTACACATGGATATTATCTCACTCCCTTTCCTTTCTTACACATGGATATCATTCTTTTCCTATTTTGAGATTATGTTATTTGCATTTCTGGGGGTTTAGGTTCCTTTTGAGAGCATTTTCCCATCATCAGATACTTTTGTATTTGTTAGATTTTGATCTACCATGTGTGTTTGTTAGAATTTTGATCTACCAAGTAAAATTTGTCTGAAATATGAAATGCTGATAATTAAAAAATATGTAGATTTAAAGTGTTCTGAGTTTCTGACTATTGCAGTACCCATGACCCTTAGAAAAAAATTCGCGGGATTGGGTGGTCTCCATGCTGTGACATTATCAGCGCGGGTTCCCACTTCCTTCCCACCTTGTTAGTTCCATGTCAGATCTATGCTGTTTATGTTATTTCTGTGTAAAATTTGTGACACTGAAATTTTTGGAACGTCTGAATTTTAATTTCCCATTGGTGACATATGTAAGGGCTTGGTTATTCACAGCCAACTCCCCCTCCTATTGTAAGTATTGCCCATTTACACTTTATTTATGCAACCTTAGCTATAAACTACAATTGTCTATAGAATAAAGTCTTTAGTCAATAGATACAGCATCACAGCAATGAGAAAAAAAGGGGTGGGTGGGGGGGAGAGATAGCATATAATATAATGCAAACAAAATATTCACTACTTTTTGAATCCGTATTTAAGTGGACAAAATTAAAATGGTTCATCAAAGTGTTGGCGCTTCTCTTTTATTGTGAAGTATATGATTTCATTGCATTTCGGATCAGTTTCATCTGGAAACAACACCTCTATTATTGAACCAGTAAGGTTATTCACAGCCAACTCCCCCTCCCTCCCTTCCTTCCAACCTGCCACAGCAGGATTCATTTCTGAGACCCTGGATTACCACCATACAGTTGATGTATTTTGAACAATAAGTTGCATAAATTTCAAAGTGCAAGATGATGTCACTTTTTCAAATTCTTGCTTTTACTTTTGCTTTCTCCTTCTCAAAATTGTTCACTTTGCTTGCCCCGTATTCCTTTTTGAGGGGTCTCTTTCACATTACTCCATTATCTGGTGAAATTTTCCACTTGCAACCCCCAAGTTAGTTTGTTTTTGCTTCTTAAAATTAGTGATCTTTGCTCTATGGGGCATTAACGGGAGAGAGGAAGTATTGACCTTCAGATCAATTTGCTTCTAATTCTTGGCTAATTTCTTCAATGCCAGAAGTCCAATTGTATTTTTCATATCATATTGCATGCATCCTTTATTATACCCTATAGATCGTTTGTCTATATAAGGAGCATGAGAAATGACCTCAGGCTTCTGTACAGTTGCTCAGTTTAGCATGAGCTATACCGCTTATTTGTGGACCTAGTTTTGTAAATAGTAAAGGATGCTATCTGTGTTTTGACATTATATGTAATATTGTCAAATTAAGAGGCTTTGCTATGTCAGAGTTGTGTGAACAAGTTCAAGAATTAGGTGTTAAAATCTTGATTGAACTTAAAATGGTCATGCTCTTTCGGTTAACTTTGCTATGATCAAGCTTGATCTCTGTGATTTTGGAGTTTGAGCTCATTTATTGTTATTCCCTTTGTGCAACACGATATATATACCAAGTTTCAGCTTTGATTTTTACATAATGAGTATTATCAACCACTACTACCTTTGTTTGAATTCTAGTAATATTTGAGCTTTTAGCACTATTTATATGCGACTTTGACCATTAATATCCCTATTCATATTAAAAAGAAAAAAAAAAAGTTGATATTATAAACATATACATTGAGATCAACCCAACAGTGGTTAAATTAATGACATGTAGTTTAAAAATCTTAAATGAATTATTCAAAAAAGGCTTGCAAGAATTGAGAAGCAAAGGTAGTATCTCATATTGTCCATGCTTGATCAGACTATAAAGGATGAGTTCGACTTTGGAAGTCAGTGCTGTGGTTGTTTATCAGCTTTAGTCACTAAAATACATGACCACCGTCTTCTCATTAATATGATTTTTGAGCGATCAGTTACTATACTGTTGGTTTGATGTGTTAAACTGCTCTCTCTCACGAGTTGGGTAAATATTATCTCTTAATGAAGCCTTAACTTTCAAAAGCAATGGAAATGAATGTGCAAGTACCGCAAGCTTTTTACTAAGTACTGATGAGATTGAGGGCGTTGCAGCACTGATTATATGCAACGTGCGTGGATGTTCACAAGCAGAAAATTAGCCGGAAGGTTGTTTGAGATAAATTAGCTTAAAGCTTCGTACAATCATTAATGGCTTTAGGCCATCACTCTCAATGTTTTTTCATACAATTTCTGAATGCCTTCCTTCTGCTACTCTTCTACTATTTATACTACTGCTTTACTACATAATGGACAAAAGCCTTAATTACTACTTTACTACTTTTTGTCTCTTGCTGAGTTACTATAGTGAAAATCAGTCCTGCTCTCTGCCCACTTAACCGTTGCTTGTGTTGGTAGTGGGAGGGTGTTCTGCTGCTGTTGTGTTGGTAGTAGGGTGGTGGTTTGCTGCTGTTGTCTTTTGTCTTCTTCTGTACACGATAGTGACTGGTGGAGGGTGTTGGTGCATTGCATTATATTGGAGAATTATGGGCCAATTTTTTAGTATGGTAATTGGAGACTAGTAAAAGAGGCAACCTTCAATTTTGTTGTACATTACTAGCTATAGGATGTGATATCATCTTTAATTTCTTGATTGACCTTACAATCAAGAGTAATTAGTAGCCAAATTAAATTATTGCATCACAAAAGATGTCACACTGGGTGTTTGTAGTGATTCTGGGGGTATAGAATACCCAACTTTTCTAAGACCCTGATATATCTATCAAATTGTGGAGAAAAAAATGATCATATATTATCAGATATCAGTATGCTCATTGTCTATGAACTTTCCAAGGAATATTATGTTAAAATTATATAACTATAAGGCACTCTATTTATAACATGTGGCCCATGTATATTTGTTCTTTTCTTTTCTTTTTTTTAATTTTTTTTTTTTTTTTAAAATGTCATAGAACTTTCAAGATGGCTAAATGAAATCCTGCTTAGCTGTAGGAAAATATTAGAATTTAGCATGATGGTTCTGGGTGTTGGATTAGCTGCTAGCCTGCTTCACACCGATGAGTAGACTGCTAAAATTTTTTTAAGTATCTTTAAGTTGTAGGTCTCTGGTGGCGTGGGGGCGCGCCCAGGTGCGCCTCTCTGGGTCTCTGTTCCGTACCCTTTTATGAGCGGCCGCGCATCCACCTTATTAGAGAAGGCCGCGCCTATACGGGTCTTTTTGGACGATCTAACTAATTACTCCTTGTTAGTTTCTCTATATATAGATTTTCCTTCTATTTTTAGGGAGAGAAGAGTTAGTTTTAGAATTAGTTTAGATTTTGTAGAGAGAGAAACTCTAGTTTGTAGAGAGAGAAATTCTTGATTGATGATTGAAGATTCATGATTCTAAGCATTTTCTCCATTGATTTGAAGCAAGTTTGTAAGGGTTTCTTTTACTTTAATGCAGTCTTTAGTTTTTGATTTCAATTGTTTTGTTGATTGTTCAAGTTTGATTGACTTGTGATTGAATTAGTTTGATTAATATGATGATGATGAATTTGTTATTTAGCTTAGTTTTGATCTTGATTTCCATGGATTGTGAGTAGTTTTTTTGCTAGGGGAATGGTGAAGCATATATGAGTAATGCATTGATACTAATTTGGGGAAATGGATGGAGTTGATGTAGTGATAAAATTGGTTGATTGATTATTGCATGTGTGTGATTGATTGAAGAGTAGCTAACTTCGATCGTTGCACTAGATTGCATTGTAAGTTCACATTGATACGGACAATTGATTTGTGGCTTGCATTTGTCGATTGAGTTGGTTTGTGAAGTTCCTAGCTAGAGTCTCTCCTAGTTGATGCTAGTTTGACCTCTAGGAGAATAGCCTATCATACTCTTTTGATTGCTTAATTGATTTTCCCTCGCAACACTCAACTTAGTCAATTCCAATCCCGATTAGTTGTATCCATTGCATGTATATGTAGATCTTAAACCCTAGTGTTTGATATATTCGGTTTTAATCTCGTTTTCTTAGTTGTTTTAGAGTACACACACCTTGGTTCCTTGGTGCGTTCACCTGTGGGCTCTTCATTCTATATCATCCCGGGGCTATTGAAACCACCAAATATGGCAGTTTCAAAACACGTTGATAGTGGGTCCAACATCCCAAAATAATGATAGCACCACAATGAACCCACCAAGTTCAAACTTTCTTCAAATATAAGCACAATTTTCCCTATCTTACCTCACTAACATTTCTGACCTTTTTACCTCAAAATTCGATAAAATCGAATATAATCACATCAAAAACCGCGAAACACCTTTCCATTGCTCATGCTCACTTGAATTAATCCAACTCCATGAATTCACCCTATAAATCCAAAAGAAAAAAAATAAGTGAAAGAAAAGAATATAAAAGAAAGAAAATTAAGAAAAAGAAATCAAAAGAAAAGGTTAGAAATCTCAGGGTTCCTCCCGAGAAGTGCTTGCTTATGGTCCTAAACTCGACCCTTCCTCCAAATCATGGAGGGTCAAAGAACACCACCTTCTTCGAAGTGGTGGAAGGCACAAATTCCTCTTCAATAATTAGCAACTTCTCATTGTTGCTTGATAAAAGTTCGTTTGATTGGACTTCTAAAGCAAGTCTCTCTTGCTTCAACTTCATTCTCATTCTCTTCTTCCTAGAAGCTCTCGCTTTCTTCTTTACCTTGTTCCTTTTTGTAAACGGTCTCACACCATCCACACTCTTAGGATCATTTTCCTCCTCTTGAGGGTAGAGCTCAAACCAATGCGGAATGTCAATTACCTCTTCGTCCATAGCCTTTGAAAGCTCCTTTTTCTCTTCACTAACTTTCATGCAATCAAAACTCACAAGCACAGCATCACAAATCTCATGAACATCGTTAGTCGAAGAATTAATCACACAAACATTATCAATGGAGTGAAGGGAATTAACACTCGTGATTCCTTTCACAAGGGACAAAGACTCATGCATCGGTTTTAAATCAAAACTTTCCTGATTGTTACCAACTCTCAAAGTAATTCGACCTCTCTTAACATCTATCAAAGCTCCCGAGGTAGCTAAGAAAGGTCTTCCTAAAACGATAGGAATATGGTCATCTTTCGCAATCTTTAGCACAATGAAATCAACGGGGTAGTGAATTCTCCTATCTTGAGGGGGACATCTTCAACTCTACCTTTAGGAAACTTAATAGAACGGTCGGCCAATTGAAAGGTCATGTTAGATGGAAAGAGCTCACCTATCTTAAGTCTCTTGAAGACGGAATAAGGCATGATGCTAACACTAGCACCAAGATCACAAGGGTATTTTGGAACAATTTCCCATTAATATTGCAAGGGATGGAGAAATTTCCGGGATCTTTCATCTTTGGGGGAAAGTCATTATGGATAAAGGCACTACAACACTCCCCCAAACTCACCGGCTCAACCACATTGCAATCTCTCTTGCCGCTCAAAATTTCCTTAAGAAACTTAGAATAGTTTGGCATTTGTTCCAAGACTTCGGTGAAAGGAATAGAAAGATGAATTTCTTAAGCATTTCGATGAATTGCCCAAATTGTTCATCCAATTTGTGCCTATTGAACTTTTGGGGGTAAGGAAGTTTGGGTTTGTAGACTTCTTTTTCTTTCTCTTTCACCTTCTCAACTTGTTCCTTAGCAACTTCCTCATCCAAAGGGCTCTCATCTCCCTCATTCTCAATTGGACTCTCTTTCGCATCACTCTTCTTAGACACCTCACTCTCAAGGACCCTACCACTCCTAGTGGTGATTGAACAAACCGGTTTCTTAGGATCAATTCCTTGTGAAGGTAAAGAAGAAAGGGTAGCATGCTCTTTCGAGGTGTTAGCTAGTTGAATGATTTGGGTCTCAAGCATCATTCCATGAGTTAACATGTCATGAAACATTTTGTTACTAGACGATATGTAATCATTCAATTTCTTGGCTTGATCTACCATGACATTCTCTAACCTACTCATAGAATGAGATAGTAGATCATAGGAATTATCACTTTGCCCTTGGGTCTTTGGAGTAAATTCGGGTGGGGGACCTTTTTGAGCATTGTTTTGAAAATTTCTCCTACTTTGATTACTCCAAATACCCCTACCATGATTTTGGCCGAAATTTCGATTATGGTTACCATAACCTTGGTTATGATCCCCATATCCTTGGCCGTGACTTTGATCATTATAACCATAGTTGTTATGGTTACCACGAAACCCTTGGGTTACTTGGTTCCTATAACTTAGAGTAAGAAGACGTACCACTCCACGGAAATTGGGAGGGAAGAGTTTGTGCTTGTGAAGAAGCATTCTCAAGCTTAGCCGTGATGGAAACCACCTCCTTCCCTAAGTTCGAAAGTAGTGTGGACAAATTGTTGAAGGCGTTGAGTTGATCAATCAAGCCATTTTCGCTTGTCGACTCTATCTCAACTTCTTGCCAATCCATGTAGTTCCTCACTACATCATCTATCACATTCACAACCTCCTCCACCGTCTTGTTCATGATTGGGCCTCCGGCTCCGACATCAAGACTTGACCTCCCTTGAGGACTCAAACCACCATAAAAAAATTGAATAATTTGGTAAGTCGGAATTCCATGGTGAGGACACTCTCTTTGATAATCCTTGTACCTCTCCCATGCTTCATAGAGGCTTTCACTAGTCCTTTGCTTGAAACTTTGAATCAAAACTCTAGTCTCCGCCGTTTTCTTTTGAGGGAAGAAACGGGAAAGAAATTTCCTGGTGACTTTATCCCAAGTTCTAAGGAATTAGGCTTCACTTCCTTATCAAGCCATTCTTAAGCTCTTCCAATTAGGGAAAAGGGAAATATTTTAAGCCTTATAAATTCTTGAGCAACCCCGTTCACCTTAATTGTGTTGCAATATTTCTCGAACTCCTTAAGATGATTGAGGGGACTTTCATTTGTTACATCACTATATTGTCTTCTTTCAATCAAAGCTATCATTGGCGGCTTGATTTCAAAATCACTATCCGGGATTAATAATGGAGCAATCCTGCTCTCATACTTGTATGCACCCGGAGTGCCCAACTGCTTCAATGTAAGCCTTGGGACTTCTCCCATGTTAACTTGCACACATAAAATCATTGGCGGCTTGATTTCAAAATCACTATCCGGGATTAATAATGGAGCAATCCCGCTCTCATACTTGTATGCACCCAGAGTGCCCAATTGCTTCAATGTAAGCCTTGGGTCTTCTCCTATGTTAACTTGCACACATAAACTCAAAAGAAACTATTAGTAGCACGGCTACAAATGTAGCCTAAAGGAGAAAAATCTTTTTGTATTTTTGAAATAAGGTGAAATAGACTCTACAACAATAGCAAACAACTACACTATTCACCGGCAACGGCGCCATTTTGACGAGGGGTGGAACTAGGTCGTTGAAACTAATTCTCCCTCGGTTAAACAAAATTTGTAATCACTCAACACACCCTTATAACTAGCATAGGAGTAAGTCGAGGGTCGAACCACTAGGAATGGAAGGTGGTCACTATTACTAGAGTTAAGCTATTTCGAAGAAGTAAAGTAAGGTGTGTGTACTCTAAAGCAACTAAGAAAATGAAATTAAAACCAAATATATCAAACACTAGGGTTTAGGATCCACATATACATGCAATGGATACAACTAATCGGGATTGGAATTGACTAAGTCGAGTGTTGCGAGGGAAAATCAATTAAGCAATCAAGAGAGTATGATAGGCTATTCTCCTAGAGGACAAACTAGCGTCAACTACGAGAGACTTTAGCTAGGAACTTCACAAACCAACTCAATCGACAAATGCAAGCCACAAATCAATTGTCCGTATCAATGTGAACTTACAATGCAATTTAGTGCAACGATGAAAGTTAGCTACTCTTCAATCAATCACACACATGCACATAATCAAGCAACCATTTTAATCACTACATCAACTCCATCAATTTCCCCCAATTAGCATCAATCCATTACTCATATATGCTTCACCATTCCCCTAGCAAGAAAACTACTCACAATCCATGGAAATCAAGATCAAAACTAAACTAAACAACAAATTCATCATCATCATATTAATCAAACTAATTCAATCATAAGTCAATCAAACTTGAACAATCAACAAAACAATTGAAATAAAAAACTAAAGACTGCATTAAGGTAAATGAAATCCTTACAAACTTGCTTCAAATCAATGGAGAAAATGCTTAGAATCTTCAATCAAGAATTTCTCTCTCTAAAAACTAGAGTTTCTCTCTCTACAAAATCTAACCTAATTCTAAAATTAACACTTCTCTCCCTAAAAATAGAGGGAAAATCTGTATATAGTAAAACTAACAAAGAGAAATTAGTTAGATCGTCCAAAAAGACCCGTACAAGCACGGCCCTCTCCAAGGTGGATGCGCAGCCGCTCATAAAAGGGTACGGAACAGAGACCCAGAGAGGCGTGCCCAGGCGAGGTGCGCCCGCGCCACCAGGTCGCGCGGGAGCAGGGCAGCCTCCACCTTCGACTTTGCTCTTCCTCGTGCGCTCCACTTGATGATGTTGATGAACACGGAAGGAGGCAGTCTTCAGCCTCCACAGTGGGTTCAACACCAAGAGTGGTGTACCCGCCGCTTGCATGCACGAGCTAGAAGACTTGGACTTTACACTCCTTCAAACTTGAACTTCAAATGGTAGGCAAGAGGCATCTCAAACGATGTATAACTTGGGAAGGAGACTCGGGGATCCTCGGATTATGATCATTCATAACCTGAAAAATGAACGAAAACAAGCAAATAACAGAGAAAATAACAAAATAAAAAGAAATGCATAAAAATAGAAAATCAACTAGGAAAATGCAAACTAAGGAAATAGAGGGTAAAACTAAGGAAAAACTAAAGAAAATAGCTATAAAATAGCATGAATTCCACCCTAAAGAGAACCATATGAGTGCCATAAATGACACTCATTAGTCTCATGTTTGGTCTGGGATACTTTACCTCTTCCAAATGCTGTAAGATAAATACTCCGTATTGACATCATAGGAATAAAACTAAAAAAGTGGCAGTATCCCCAATTTGAAATGTAATTTCTTCCTCAATTCCTGTGTGGTTTTATAGTTAGTTATGTTTGATATAACACTATCTTTGTTTGGATGACTTCCAAGTTCGTGTGCAATAATTAATGGATCAAAGACCCGAGGAAATGAGTGACCTGTATATGTTTTCTGAAATTATCACTCTGTGCAGGTTCCTAAAATCACTGTTATAATTGGTGGAAGTTTTGGTGCTGGAAACTATGCTATGTGTGGACGTGCATATAGTCCCAATTTTATGTTCTTCTGGCCAAATGCAAGAATATCCATAATGGGAGGGGCGCAGGTATAACTTTTATACTATGTTATTTCTTTTTACCGCCTTTTTAATAAAGTGTTGATTTTAATTGTTTATTGTGTCTTACGTAGTACTACGTATTTGATAATTGAGGTTGCTGTGCCATAACATTTTAGGTTCATTTGTGAACCATGAGGAATACTTTAAGCTACTTGAGCTTAAATTATCAAAGACTGAGATTTAGCAGTTTTTAAATGAGTTAGGTGATGTGCAATGACACAGTAGTGGCAATTACTTACCCCTATAACATCCCCTATCTCAACCTGCTTGACTTATCTGCTGCTACCTGCTTTACTTTGGCGTTCTTATTTTATCCCATTTACAGACTTAAAAAGTCATCTTGTAAATCAAATAAATGGAACTGTTGACTATGGCCCGTGTAAGTCAGAGTTCAAAAGACCTACTTTTCAGCGTGTAGTTTGTTGACTTTGTTCCATGCCCAGTTCCCCACACATGACAAGTTTCACAGGACACCACTGCTATCCTTTTTTTTTTTTTTTTGAAAAAATTCTTCCACACTCACTTCATGGATGAGTTCATCTTTAGCATAGTTCTTGTCAATTTCCTCTTCAGATTCATTGTTCTATAGGTTTTGCGTTGCCCATACTCCTTTGAGGGTATCTTTTTGGCATTACTGTGTGTCGTGTCTGAGTGACTTGCCATTAAGGAAGACTATCAGTAAAGCTGGCTATTAGTAGGTTCAACACAGAAGCTACTGAAACAACACAGATCTTTTATGATGGTAGTGACAGGATAAGGGCTGGAGCGGAGCATGACCATGTCTCCAGCAATGGCCTTAGGGTTGGCAACAGACAGAGCTGCTCATGAGAAATTATGACTTGGCTCAGCTTAATTCACTTGTAAGAGCTTGAGTACTTATGCTATGTTTGGATAACAAATTAGAAGAGAAATGGAAGGGAGGGAAATAGGAGGAAGGGGAAGGAAGGGAAAGTGGAGGAAATGATGAGCTCCATTTTCCCTCCAAATCTCTCCAATTTTGAAGGGATGGTCTTTATGAAAGGAGGAGGGATCATGGATCCCTCCCTCCCCCTCCCCTTCCCTCCCCCAACATATTATCCAAACAAGAAGTTTGTCTCCCTCCCTTTCCCTTCCCTTTCTTTCCTTCCATTTTTTGTTATCCAAACATATAGCCTTAATGAGCTGAACTTAAATTCAGCTGATTTTGAGTCGTGGGCTCATAAAATTAAGAAATCGATGTATACCTTTCAAATCATAAGAGGTAGTTATAAATTTTTTTACCTCTGTGCATCAACTTTCTATTTAAAGGATATGGTAATTTTTAGCAAAAATTGGACCAAGCCTATTAGCCAAACACTACCAAATAACTGAATAGAAAGAACACTGTTATTATTCTCAGTATGTTACCATGTATTAATTGTTGAAACATTGTTTATCTAGGCAAACTTCAGCTGTAGTTCGAGATCTAGAATCCAAGCTAAGCTTCAGCTAGGCTCATCTAGTTTAAGAGGAGCCAGTGTTTGAACTCCGTATGATCCAAGTTAGATTGAGCCGAGCCATGTTGGAATTTAGTTTAGTTCGATTCATTGCGAGTACTGTGGATGGGTGGAAGCCTGGCAGTGGAGCTAGGTTATAGGTTCATATGAGCTGAATTAGGGGGGAGGGGGGGGGGGTGGAGTGGATAATTGTGGGTTGAGTGGGGCGCTAGCTTGCTGACCCATAAAGACTGTTCTTTTTCCATCATTGTCAAAAACGTTGGTTGATATCATTTTCAATGTTCTTACGTGAATTACTTCCAATATACAATGGTGATTATGATATGCCTTGGCCCTTGGAAGCATAAACTATGTAAATACTAGATGCACTTCTCTGTTTCTTTTTGTCAGTTAATATGTTGATCTATCAAATGAATAACATCATGCTTGATGAATTTTACCTTCTACCCTTATATTGAGTGGTTTAAGTGGATCTTTGGAAAGTGAGGCTTGCAAGTTCCAACCTGAGCATTATGTAGTGATAATCATTTATAATCCATCTGAGCATTATAGGATACCCCTGATCAGATCAAATACCTCTTATAAGATGATAATTTTTTTTTTTCATTCTTCTTGGACCACCATTTTTAATCCATTAAACTGAAGAATAGGGATCAATGCTATTTTTGATATGTATGATTTGTATATTAATTAATGGTTTTAAACATGATGTTTATTTTTGAGCAACATCAAATGTGCATGTTGATTAGCTGGGGGTGCACTCTCTCTTCTTTAAATAGAACACAGACTTGAAGTATCTAATCCAGGAGGCCAAGAGATGCCAAACCAAAGAGTGCTCAATCTCACCTGAAAAGCCAAGTATCCGAGTCGTAATTGTACTAAAGCATAGAGTAGTTGTGCACGAAGTTATTATGCTCCCTAAAAGCATGGTTAAGACCCAGCTAAGATTATGTAAACCGTGTCACTACTCACTTGAATGGTCTGCTTACCCAATCCTCAGTTGCCTGTGCTGATGATAGAAGGTGTTACAACAGTTTGAGCTAGCTCAAGATCCTTGATTTATTTTTTAACATTTCTCCTGCTGATGTTTAATGACAAATATCACATGTGATTAAACTGTAAAATGAGGACTAATTTCTTGCATGGCACTGTGTAGGCTGCAGGTGTACTGACTCAAGTAGAAAAGGCAAACAAGAAACGGCGAGGGATCCAGGTAATGTTTGTTTGGAAATGCTGCATTTTACTTGTACATTGCTACTGGTCTTTAGAATCTTGGTTCATGTGCCAGACAACTACGTTTACCTGATCTTGCATATATTTTACCTGTGTAGTGGACAGCTCAAGAAGAGGAAACATTCAAAGCGAAGGTGGAACAAGCATACGAGGAAGAAGGCTCTCCATATTACTCCACTGCTAGGCTTTGGGATGATGGTGTCATTGATCCTGCAGATACTAGAAAAATTATTGGTCTATGCATCTCTGCTTCAATGAATCGTGCTCCGGAAGAGACAAAGTATGGTGTATTTAGAATGTAATGATCAAATAGATGAAATGATGATCCAGTGTAAATATTTAGTCTGTAAATTTCAAGAGAAGCCATCAAAATTATTTAATGTTATTTAGACATTTTAAAACTATGCCAATATGAGTCAATGTTTTCAGTATTAGATTACAGTAATATGAACCTTGTAAAATGATATGTGCTATACACTTACGTCATTCAGTACGTATTGTACCTGGCAAGAGATGTAAGATGAATATAAATCTAGTCTTTATATTATAAGCCAACTAGCCAAGGCATGGAGTTGTGATGTCCTCCTAAAAATACTTTAATACCGGCTTGCGCTAGCGCACGGAAAAAAACAAAAAAAAAGGGGGGGGGGTAAAAAAAGCAATTCTAGGTTCTTACTTCCAACTTACCTATAATTAAAGGAAAAAATGACAAGAATAATCTTAACTTTACGTGATTCGTCCAAAATAATCCCAACTTCGGATTATTTTTTAATGATACGAACTTTGATGACACATGTCGGCACTAGATGGTCAAAAAATAAAAACAAAAAATTTTAAAAAAATGATGTTTCTAAGGAAAAAAATTTTAAAAAATTACTAATAATTAGAAAAAAAAAAAAAAAAAAAAAAAAAAAAAAAAACCTACCCTGGCATCCCCAACCACGCTATCCGTCGCCAACCCGACTCCCAACCACCAACTCCGGTGATATAAGATAATGGGAGAACCATCCCCAAAAGCTAGTTCAAATCCCACATTAGTCCTCCATATAACCGATGTGGGACTCAAGTCCCATACTTTGCAATGGATTATTAAATTTGCAGTCTAGAGCCATCATCTTGTAGCTTCAATGAGAGGATCGTAACATACACCCTTGTGAGCCACTTGCCCTCATGTGGCTTCGAAGGAGAGGAACCTGGCTCTGATACCATTGATATAAGGCGATAAGACAGCCATCCCCAAAAGCTAGCTCAAATCCCACATTAGTCCCCTCTATGATCGAGGTGGGACTCAAGTCTCATACCTTGCAATGAATCATTAAATCCGCAGTCAAGAGCCACCTTCATGTAGCCTAAACGAAAGGACTGTAACATCCGACCGCGAGCAGACCTCTCCCCCTGCGCCGACGTTGCGCCGACCCCTTTCCCTTTGAACTAACAACCCTCCTCCCCAACCCCACAAAACTTTTTAAAACCAGCTCCCACCGATACTTCTCTACTCCCACGCGCCGTCGAACGTCGGTTCGTCCATGGCTAGGCAGCTTGTTCTCTATCTGGGCTCATCCGATCGACCGCGTCGTTGATTCTGCTTTAACTGTGATCTTGGACGCCACCTTGTCCACGTCAACGTTTCTCGTTTCGAGGAGATTGCTTAAGTTGTCTTTTTTTTGTTACAGTGGTTGTGGTAGGGGTGGGTGTTGGGCTTGGGAGGTAGGGTGGTGGAGGACTGGAGGTGGTTGGGTTGGTGTTGGTGGCTCGGGGGGGGGGGAGGTAGGGTGGTGGAGGTGGTTGGGTCGTTGGTGTTGGTGGCTGATGTGTGGTTAACATTAATTTGTTTTTTTTAATTATTTTGAAATTATTTAGTTTTATGTTTGTTAATTAAGTGTAAATTAGTAACAAATAATCATATTTTTTAAAAAAAAATCTTATTTTATGACCAATCACGTGGTGACACGTGTAAATTAAACTTTAAAATTGGGACTATTTGAAGCAAATTCATATCAATAATGATCCAAAGTTAGGATTATTTTGGGCGAATCACGCAAAGTTGAGATTATTGTTGTCAATTTTCATTTTTTTTTTAATAAGTTGTCAATTTTTCCATAATTAAATCACTAAAAAAATATTTCTATGTTAATCAATAATCTTTAATCAACTCTTCAAAAAAAATAATCTTTAATCAATTATGTCTCTAATTAATTCTCAATGATGATTTAAATTAAACTCACAAAATGATTACTTATTATAATTTTTGTTTACAATCAACTAACTTCATATTTTTTTTTAAAAAAAATATCAATTAACTTCATAAATTACAATTTTTTTTGGAAAAATTGCCCGCAATAATCCGACCTTTTGGCCGTCCGCTTAAAATAATCCCACCTATGGATTATTTTTAAATAATCCCACCTTTACCCCCCTTCTTTTTTATTGGTCCCAACCGGTCAATTAACTTGTTATAGCAAGTTACTTGACACGTGTCGCCACCTGATTAGTCTAAAAATTAAAAAAAAAACTTAATTAATTTTAGAAACCACCCACCAGCCAAACCACCATCTCTACCACCGATCCCGGCGCGCTGACCCCCCTGCCACCGTTCCAGGCGCGCCGACCTCACCTGCCACCCTCCCATGAACCACCGTTGAACCCCCTCCCCTGAACCACTTCGAACGCCTTCCTCCTTCACGAAATCTCCCCCTTTAACCACCCTCAAACCCTCACGAAACCAGGATTGCCTCCCTTTGAACCACCGTCGAACCCCCTGCCTCCCTCACGAAACTAGGCACGTGAACCCCCTTCTCCTCAACCCCCTTCGAACCTCCTCCCTCCGTCACGAAATCCGGTGAACCTCCTCCCTCCGTGAAATCAGGTGCCGCTGAACCTCCTCCCTCCGTCACGAAACCACGACTTCGGTCCCCCTTGCCTCGATTTCTGCCGCTCAGCCCACCGCTCTCCTTCCCCCGTCACGCGAGCTCCGTTCTGATGGTATGGTGGATCGGAGGAGGTGGATTGGTGGAGTATTGTGGTGGCTGGGGCTGGTGGAGTATTGTGGATCGGAGGAGGTGGCTGCTCCTTTTTTTTTTTTTTAAATTCATTTTTTTAATTTAAAATTTTAAACAAATTGTATGGTGACACGTGTCTTTTAAATCCAAAAAAAAAAAATTTACCTTTGCAACAGGTAACCGGTAACGTGGGACCATTGAGAGAAGATCGGGGGTAAAGGTGGGATTATTTAAAAATAATCCAAAGTTGGGGCTAATTTTAGCGGACGGCCCAAAGGTGGGATTATTCCGGGCAATTTTTCCTTTTTTTTTAAAAAAAAAAAATTTCCAATGGATGAGTATAATGTATCAATCAAATCACAAATTCCTAATTGCAACAACATTATATTTCAAGTTATTAAATTAATTTTCATGATTTTCTACCTCCCTCATTTTATTTTTTGAATCAAACAACTAATCAGAAAAATTACTTTACTCTTTATTCACTTTCTGGAAAAACTAAAATGCCAATATATCTTTTTAATTAAGTATATTAGCTATCAAGTTTATTTAAAAAATTTATCATATATTTTAAAATCTATAATTATGTCAACAAAATTGATCTTAGTTTCATAATGTACTGATGTCGATCAAATTAACAGTTTAACACTGTATTTCTAAATTAATTACATAAGAGTAGTACTATGTGTATTACAAGTATATCGATATACTCCCTTTTCATTTTTGGGTGTTCCAATTTACTTGTTTTGTTTAATTTTTAAGGAATCTCTCTCTCTCTCTCCTTTTTCTTTTGTATTGGGTCTTTTACTCATCCATACAATTTTTTCTCACTACTTTTTTTTACTTTTATAAAACCTTATCAATTGTTAATGAATATGTCTATATATATTTAAAAAAAATGTCTATATATATATTAGTACTCCATGTAATTTAAAAATTATCAACTTTATTACTACCTCAGTTTCACATTTTTTTGCAACTTTAAAGGGTGCACGGGTTCCTAGACAAAATTTGTTTGTGAGTTTAAGATAGAGAGAGAAAAATAAGAATGCATGTGATGAGGAGAGAGAAAGAGAGAAATGACAACCTAAAAAGAAAAGAAAACATTAGTTGCAAATAATGTGTAGCATCCATTTTTGGCAAAAGTTGCAAAAAATATGAAACAGATGTAATATTATTATTATTATTATTATTATTATTATTATTATTGGTAGTAGTAGTAGTTAAGGATTTTATTGAACAAGGTTTCTTTATAAAAATGAGGTCAAAGTTATGCATTTCTAAATATGAAAGTCAAAGTGGAACAATTAAATAAATAATAATAATAATAATAATAATAATAATAATAATAATAATAATAAAGAGTATTATTTATAAAATTTGGCTGTTATGTATTAGGTTTATATTTTTTAACTTTAAGGTTATGTTTATCATTTTGCTATGCTAACAACAAAAGTATATTTAATAAGCAGTTTTTTTGGTGTAGTCAGCCACAACTTTTATCTCTTAGCACACTAACACACACCAAAACACTGACCAGATCACCTTTGTCCGATAGGTTAACCCTAGCCATAAAACCCCTCATCGAGTAACCCATGAACGACCGAGTAACATCTGACTAAGTAACCCCATCCACACACAACCCCTGATCGTGTAACACTTGAACGACCGAGTAACATTTGATTGAGTAAAGTTTGATCGACCACACAACTCTGGCCACACCGACACACCACGTAATAGGTCAAACGAAATGGATTTTTTTTTTTTGGTGCAAATGATATAAAAAGACAATTCAAATTATAAACAAGAGTGGTGTGATCTAAACATATAACTTAAAAAAAAAAAAAAAAAAAAAAAAACTCTTTCAAACATGAATTATACTCCCTCTGTATTTTTTTAAGAGTTACACTTCCCATTTTCGACCGTGTTTTTTTAAGTGTTACACTTCCTTTTTTGGCAAAAAGCTACATTAAAATATTATATCTCTCTCCTCTCATTGTCCCCGCCCAAACCCGCTACTACTTTTTTTATTATATCTTTCTTCTCACATTCATTACTTTTCAATAAATTATACAAACCTATAGATACCTCATATGAAATAGTATATATTTTCAGTTCAATTATACAGCAATAATAGAAAAAAATGAGAGAGAATCAAGAGAGAGAAAATGAGGAACTCTCTAAAGAAGAGACTGACTTGATAAATAGATCTAATAAAAAATTCAAGCGCCAAGAATTTGAAGGCTCAAGAGGATTAGGATCTGAGTCTGACTATGGCTCAGTAGGATCTCATGCATCACAGACTGTTTTATCTCGGCAGTATGGACAAGCGAAGACTGGGGGCTCATATAGCCAGGCTGCGGATGGTTATGGGGATCAGTTGGTTCGAATCATGAATCAACAACTGGAGTCTAATGGATATTTTGAGGAAGCCTCAGATGATGAGTCTGATGGTCAGGAGGATGATGATCCAAACTGTCCTGTGATTAAGCTGTCTAAAGAGGAGAAAATTCGATTGAGGAAACCATGGAGAAATGCCTTAATTATAAAGTTATTTGATAGAAGAATGAGGTATGATGATCTCATTAAGCGTTTGAGATCTAGGTGGAGTTTGAAAGGAGGCATCTCCTTGACTGATGTGGGATGCTCATACTACATTGTGAGATTCACGAACTATGAGGACTATTCCTTTGTCATGACTCAAGGACCATGGATGATTGGAGATAGTTATCTAACCATCCGTAAGTGGATCCCGAATTTCATACCGGACGAAGAACCAATCAAGGTACTAACAGCTTGGGTGAGAATACCAAATCTGTCTGTCGAGTATTTTGATAAGAGCTTCCTGCAAAGGATAGGGGAGAGAATTGGGAAAGTTATAAAAATTGACAAGCACACCAAAGCTATGAGCCGTGGACAATACATTCGTCTATGTGTTGAAGTGGATATTTCTAAACCATTACTATCAAAATTCAAGCTCAATGGAAGGGTTTGGTTAATCCAATATGAGGGCCTTAGGCAAATATGCTTTAAGTGTGGAACTCTTGGTCACAAGGAGGATGATTGCCTCCTATTTGCATCAACGCATAACAGGGGAGAAGGTGAACGGACACATAGTGACGGAGTCCAGAAAAAATCAGAGCCAACAGAACAGTACGGAGCCTGGATGCTGGTTCAAAGGCCGAATAGAAAACACACTAAGAGCAAGGAGACTCCGGCTAGTAAACCACCGTCTAGTGGTGAGGGAAACTTTACAGATTCTAATAAAGGAAACCAATATCAAGGAAAGAAGAAACAAATCAGTCAAGGTGTAATTCAGGAAAAATCCAATTTTGGGTCTCGATTCGATGTGTTGCAAAAAAATTTCCCAAGTGGAAAAGAAGATTGATTCTGCTGAAGAAGGTAACTCAGAGAAGATTGATTCTCAAGGCTCTGTTTTGGAAAGAAATAACACGAAAAAAGGAAAAGAGGTGGAGGCTAGCAATTTGAAAGAAAAGGAGGCTTTCTCCAAGGATTTTGCTACGGTTGATTTAGGTAATGAGGATATGGATTTGGAAATGATTAAGGATGGGAATCACATGATCTTGGGTGAGACTTTATTTAGTCAAGATACTGTTCGATTGGATTCTCAAAGGATGCCTTCAATTAAGGTAAGGAAAAATTCAAAAAGTGGGGGACCTTTGAGAAGATATTCTTCTCTGGACAATTTAGGAAAAAAGAATTTGAGCCCTAGACAAGTCCCTTTGAAAGAGTCTAATAAGCAATTAAAGAAGAAATCCCAGGATTTTAGGAAATTACCTTTCCCTCATGCGCATGCCTTAATTGAAGTGGGGAAAGAGAATTTTCTATCTCCTCCGAGAGAGAATTCTGATCCTCTCAATATTGTTCCTCCGGATTGTGTGGTAAATTTAGTGAGCCATGAATCCTCTCCTTCCCCCAATTACATTGGAAGTGCGAATGCCTCCGGACTATACAACATTCCTAGATTATCTTAAGGAAGGTCCGACAATGGTGTCAATTCACCCTTTGATTCACAAGGTGGAACTCAATGTGAGTTCATTCCTGCCTCCGGTTCATGTTCCCAAGGAATTGTTGGCAACGATCAAGATTCCTATGGAATTGATTCACCCTTTGAAGGACCTGTCAATGGACTTCATGAAAATTCTGCCTAGAGTTCCTTTGAACTTATATAACCGTTTACCTTTATGTCCGATGTTTAATATGTCGCTCAAAATAATGATGTGGAATGTTCAAGGGGCAGGGAAGCAAGCCTTTCTTCCTACTCTTAGGGAGATTATTAGAATTAATAATCCCAATGTGCTTGCACTTGTGGAAAATCATATTAGTGGTGAGAGAGCTCAAAAGATTTGTGACAAAATAGGATTTTCTGGCCAAACTCGTGTTGAAGCTCAGGGCTTTAGCGGAGGGATTTGGTTGTTTTGGAAGCAAGATGAAGTGAGTGTTGTTCCTATTGAACACCATGGTCAACATATCACTGTGAAAATTGCAAGGGTAGGTGATGATCCTTGGATTTTCTCGGCTATTTATGCCAGTCCTGACTCGACTATTCGTAGAGATTTGTGGAGTGCAATGGAGAATAATAAGAATAACTTTTCTGGCCCGTGGATCTTGGCGGGAGATTTTAATGAAACAAGAAATATGTCTGAAAGACAAGGTGTAGGGGGATTCGAAATGCAAAGAAGATGTCTGCAATTTAGCAATTGGATGGAGGATAATGACCTCATAGACCTAGGTTACTCGGGTCCTGCGCATACCTGGGCTAGGGGAGAGTCTTCCCAGACCTATAAATCTGCAAGGTTGGACCGGTTTATCTCTAATCAAGACTGGAGGTTGAATTTCGAAGAGGGTGTTGTTCGTCACCTTCCGAAAGCTTTCTCAGATCACTGTCCAATTTTATTGAGTACTTGTGGTTTCGCTCCGATTCCTATGTCTCTAAAGCCTTTCCGATTCCAAGCGGCTTGGCTAACTCATGAGAAATTTGAAGAATTTATGGTGTAAAATTGGAATAATGATATCCCGTTAATTTCCTTTCTGAATTTTTTCTCGGATAAGTTGAATGATTGGAATAGGGATATCTTTCGCAATATATTTCGTAGGAAATCTCGTTTGTGGGCTCGGTTAGAGGGGATTCAGAAAGTGTTGGCTGAAAGAAGAGTGGACAGGTTGATTGAACTCGAGAAATCCTTAAAGCTTGAGATGGAGCAAGTGCTACAGCAAGAAGAGCTTCTTTGGTTCCAAAAATCGAGATTAGAGGCTATTAGAGATGGGGATCGAAATACAAAATTTTTTCATCTTTCCACTGTAATTCGAAGAAGGAGAAATAAGATAGATATGCTGCAAAATTCTAGTGGGGAGTAGATTACTGAACCTATGCAGGTGAAGAATATGGTTGTTGAATATTGGGAGAAGCTTTTTCAAGAGGAAAATCCCCATGCGAATGTGCATGATTTTATGCCTAATTGCTTTCCTCCCAGTCCTGAAGATGAATGGCAGACCTTGACCAAGCCTTATGCTCCTTGTGAGATATACAGAGCTCTAATGTCGATGAGACCGTATAAAGCTCCGGGTCCGGACGGATTCCAACCGGTGTTTTATCAACACTTTTGGCAGTTGGTTCAGCCCTCGGTAACTCGAACAGTAATGGATGTGCTAGAGGGGAGAGCTTTTCCAGAGGATTTGAATAAATCATTTTTGGTTCTTATCCCCAAAGATTCGAATCCTCAATTAGTGACGCAATTTAGGCCGATAGGGCTTTGTAATATTGTCTATAAATTGGTCACGAAGGTAGTTGTGAATCGACTTAAAGGTATGCTCCCATCTGTGATATCTCCTACACAATGTAGTTTTGTTCCTAGGAGACAAATCACAGATAACATAATCATCGTCCAAGAAATGCTTCATACGATGAGGAAAAAACAGGGGAAAGTGGGGTACATGGCTATCAAGATAGACTTTGAGAAGGCATATGACCGTTTGAGATGGAGCTTTATTAGACAAGCTCTAATGGATATTAGTTTACCTCAAGGTTTGGTTGAGTTAATCATGAACTGCGTAACTTCAACTACCCTCCAGATTTTGTGGAATGGGGAACCTACTGAGAGTTTCAAACCCACGAGAGGGATACGTCAAGGGGACCCTCTTTCGCCATATCTTTATGTGATATGTATGGAAAGGCTAGCGCATATTATTGACAGGGCTATTCAGTTGGGTGCGTGGAAACCTGTCAAAGCTTGTAGAGCTGGGCCGGAAATTTCAAATCTTGCATTTGCTGACGGCCTGATATTATTTGCGGAAGCCACTCCGGATCAAGCCCAAATAGTTGCTGCGTGTTTAGAACAATTTTGTGAGAAGTCAGGGAGCAAAGTGAGCTGCTCCAAATCTCGTGTTTTCTTCTCCAAAAATACAGCTCTGGAAGAGAGGCATACCATTTGTGAGAGATTGGGGATTGAGGAGACCGAAGATCTAGGGTCCTACTTGGGAGTGCCTACTATTAATGGAAGAACTTCGAAGAAAGAGTATCAATTTTTGGTAGATCGCATCAATGGTAAGTTGGCAGGGTGGAAATCGAAGCTAATTTCAATGGCTGGCGGGGCAACCCTTGTACAATCATGTATTAGCTCTATGCCGTATTATGCTATGCAAACAACAAAGCTCCCTCGGTCAACTTGTGATGAGATTGATCGTATTTCTAGGAGATTTCTTTGGGGTGGATCGGAGGAAAAAAAGAAGTGTCATCTGGTTGCGTGGGAAGTTGTTAACAAGCCTAAGAATGCGGGAGGTCTTGGAATTAGGTCTATGAGGCAAGCGAATGCAGCCTTTTTATCTAAACTAGGCTGGAGAGTACTTGCGGAACCGGATGCCCTATGGTCTAGGGTGCTTAGAAATAAATATTGTGAAGGGAGATGTGATGTTGACATGTTCAAGGTAAAGAATGATGCATCGAATGCTTGGCGAGGCATAGTTGATAATATAGATGTTTTGCGAAAAAGGATCAGTAAAGTAGTAGGTAATGGCTTGAATACTTCCTTTTGGCACCACTCGTGGGCTACTCCTAAGCCTCTGATTGCGTATACCTTTGTGGAACCACCTGGTGAGTCATATAACCTTTTGGTAAAGGACGTTTGGGATCAAAATATTAGCTGGAAGCTGGAGTATTTTGCGGATTATCTTCCCCCTGCTATACTTAGAGTTATTGAATCCTTTGAATTGCAAGAAGATGACGAGGCTATTGACCAAATCTTCTGGAATGGTGAAGCGTCGGGCAATTTTTCTATAAAATCAGCGTTGCAACTGATTTGAGGGGATGGGGTGGATGAACCGTGGGATTTTGGGATCAGCTTTGGAAGCTGAGGATCCCTCAAAGAATCAAATTTTTCTTATGGTTGCTGCTTCGAGATCGTTTGATGTCTAATGCTAATAGACTTTTGAGGCATTTGTCTGAAAATCCTAGGTGTTTTGTTTGTGGAGCAATAGAGGAAAATGTGGAGCATATATTTCGAAGCTGCCCTGCTGCAATTTTGATTTGGAAGAAATTTCCTTAGTTAGAAGATAATGAGATTTTTGGGAGACCTTTTAATGACTGGGTAGAATATAATCTTCGGCCGAGTAATGTATCTTGGGTGGAAGATTGGCATATTGTTTTTGCTGTGACTCATTGGTGGATATGGAGGTGGAGAAATAACAAGTGTTTTGGGAGAGAGGTGGACATGCCTTTTGATCCAATAAGTTTCATTATGGCAAGGGTAGACTTTATTCAGCGAGCTATGAAGCGAGAGCACCTTATGCTGGGTAAAAGAAAGAGGAGTAGAGAAGTGAAATATATAAGGTGGGAAGCTCCAAGGATGGGATGGGTGAGACTTAATACGGATGGAGCTTCAAGGGGGAACCCAGGTGTTGCAGGGTGCGGGGGTATAATTAGAGGTCATAGGGGAGAACTCTTTGAAGTTTTCTCTGCCAAGTGTGGGATCTGCTCTTCTACTAAGGCTGAACTTCTAGCTGTTGTTCGTGAGCTCGCAGTGGCTTGGAATGCTGGGCATAAGCAAGTGCAACTCTCCCTGGATTCGGAAATAGTGGTCAACCTATTAACGAAACCATCTGTTCCTAATTCTCCTTTCTTTCATATCATTTGGAGATGCAAGTGTATGATTCGCAGAGAAGGTTGGAAGGTGACAATTCAACATTGATATCGTGAGGCCAACCGGGATGCGGATTGGCTTGCTAATGCGGGGGTGGAGTTGAACTCTCGGTTCATGCTTTATGAGGCGGTCCCTTCGGATCTTCGTGCTATTTTATTGGAGGATTTGGGGGGTGTGACTATAGCAAGAATGGTTCCGGCTAGAGCGGCTTAGTTCTTGTTTGTAGTCTTTTTTCTTGTTCTAATTGTTTTATTTGCTTTTCTGTGTTCTGTTTTTGCTCTTTTCTGTTTCTAGTTTTCTAGCTTTCTCTTTGTCTTTTAGGGGCTTGCCCCTCCCCTTCACCAAAAAAAAAAAAAAAAATATTAACCCCACTATCTTTCTTTTACAATTTTTTAATACCCCAAATATCTCACTTACCTCTTATTTTATTTACTAGTAAGTTAATTAAATTGCCTAAAATTATGTGCCGGTCAAATTGTAACACTAAAAAAAACACAGAGGGAGTACTACCTTTGGGTTTTTTTAGATGACACGCACCTATCACGCTTGCCAACGCACTATTTTAAAGATTAATTATCAATATTGTAAAATTATTTTAAAAAAATAAAAGTGGATATTAATTATAAAATATAATCCCTTCGTGTTTTAATAATTGTGACATTTTGAGTGACACATTACTTTAGGCAATTTAATTGATTTAAATAAAATAAGAGAAAAGTGGTGGTAGTTAAAGTACTAAAAAAATTGTAAAAGAAAGATAGTGACTAGTGAGATTAATAGTTTGTTGAAAAATAATAATTGCAAAAGGAAAAAAAAGTAGGAGTGGGTTTGGTAAGGACGTAAAAGGAGAAAATTTGATATTAAAATGTACTAAAAAAAAGTGCAATATTTATTAAAACATGGATAGAGTACAGTGAGATAATTCAAACAAGATCACACATGATTACGGATTATATTTTTATTACATGTATAAATCATAAAAACTAAGGGTCTGTTCTCATTGACTGAACTGAACTGAACTGAATTGAACTGAGCTGAACTTAACTGAACTGAAATGAATATTTTATAAGATAAGGAAATTAGAAGCTGAACTGAAGTGAAATAAATATTTTATAAGAGAAGAAATTAGGAGCTGAACTGAACTGAACTGAACTGAACTGAGCTGAACTGAACTGAACTGAACTGAACTGAGCTAAACTGAAATAAACTGAATTTCAACGTAAGAGAATATGCCCTAAGAGTGAGAGATAGTTCAAATGATTAGAGCTCTACCAAAAAAAAATTAAAAAAAAATAGTTAATTTTTTTTTTTTTTTTGGACGTAGTTAAAAATCTTAAAATAAAGGGATTTATATATGTTGGAGTCAGAGGAAGACGGTAGCCAGAATTGAATCTAGCCTAGATTTTTGGACTTGAGAATAAGATAATTTATGCACCCTGACTTCGACCGTCAGGCGTCAGGGTCCACAATATACAGCCACTTTTAACTATACATACTACTGTTGCCCTTGCTGTTAGCATGTCATCATGGATCTTAATCGGCTAAAAAGTTTAAGACACAACATCAACCTTATAAATACTCTTTGATCCTTTTCCCTCTTCTTCAGTAGAGCACCTATTCTCATGTAAACTATCTCCATCTAAACAACCATCTTCACTTATTGTCACCACATTCATTGCTAGCTCTTCAATCATCAAGTCAACGTATCTCTATTAAGGTCTGATTTCATTTCATTTCTTGCTTTTCATATTGTCTAATTTAATTTATTGCTTTTGGAAAATGATGTATACATCTTGTACATGCATGTAGAAATATCAAACATAAGTATTGATAACATCGATATTCATATTCTTGTAAGGAATGATATATCACTAAAGGGTCTGTTCACTTCACCTTAATTTCAGTTCAATTCATTTCAGCTCTTAATTTTCATTCTCTCATAAAATATTCATTTCAATTTAGCTCTATTCAGTTCAGTTCAGCTTCAATCAGTTCACTTCAGAAGTTCAGTAAATGTGAACAAGTTGAAAAACCGATTTAGGTTGTAATATACAAGGTCGGTCTAGTAAGATGTCTTCTCATTTTTAATAATTAATTTAAAAGGTCATTATAAAGAAAATATGGGTTGTATGTAGATACTTTACAAATACATGAACTGCTAATCTGCTACTCCTTCCGTTTTTAAATACTTGCTCAATTTCTTCATGCGCAGAGTTTTAGGAG